AGCAAAAGATAAGCATGTATCCGAATTCATGTTTGTCTAAAATTCTTAGTTAATTTTAGTCGATCGAATTTACTTATTAAAACATCACTTCGGTAATATAAATCTAATGAGAGATCTTCGTAAACATAATATTAAGAAAATAATTGCTAAAACGTTACATTGTTTCCACGAGGTAGAAGACAAAATGGAATTTGGAGGCCTCACCTAAAGAAGAAACGAATGAAGAATGGAAACATTTTATTTTATCGAGTTAATGAAAGAAATAAATTAAATAATTTTTAGAGGAATATCGAACCTAGAATAATGATAAATAAATAATGTGTTATAATACGTGTATATAACAAGCAGTAATTTATTTTAAACGTTTAAATATATAATTTGGAAATCTGTCCAACATCTGTGAATATTATAATTAATTCTTCCAAGATTTACAATGTGGAATACAATTGCCTAAAGCATAATCACAATAGAAAAACAAAACTTATACATGATATTTTGATATTATATAATAATAATTCTTAGATTAAATATTGCCAAACGAAATTTCTATTGAATTATAATTAATGTATTGTCAATATAAAAGCCTGGATTGTCAAAAAATTGAGAGATTTTTCTAGATTTAAACATTATGATATATCTGCATATTATAATAGTTCTACTTTAATAAATGTATCTTTATTAATCATAGCAGTATAGAAACATAAACCTATAGAATTTAATATTTTCAATGTCTTCTAGAAAAAACCTTCCAAGAAACCGGTAGAACTTTTCTTTTCTTTTAAGTACGTATAAATTTATAATAATATAAGAAATGTTTATATATTGTGTACTATAAAAAAAAGTACTTTAAAAATTTTCAATCATCTCTTTTAATATTTATTTATAGCAATTAAGTTTTTAAAATAATATATATATACACATATATATTATTAAAAGAGATGATAGAAAATTTTTAAAGTACTTTTTTTTATAGTACACAATATATAAACATTTCTTATATTATTATAAATTTATACGAACTTAAAAGAAAAGAAAAGTTCTACTGGTTTCTTGGAAGGTTTTTTCTAGAAGACATTGAAAATATTAAATTCTATAAGTCTATTACTATAGACTATTTACGACTATAGACAACTATTTTTATTAAATTAATAAAAAGAAATGAGTGTTTAGAAGTCTCGTTTGCCCATTCGATTAGCGATTTTCTATCTTGCACATAGCATAATACATTGCTACGGAGTTAACCTTGAATAAAACACGCGTATGTTTTACTTCAAGAGCCATAATTTAGTATTCCATAAAGTACAACCACGTAAATAAATAAATAATCGGCTGAGGCAATAGAAATAAGACATATCAATGCTTCAGTTAATTCTAAGATATCGTTCAAGTTCAAAATGCTTCCCTTATCTAGACCTGCACTATCTTTGCACGATTAAGTTATCAAACGTGGAACAATAAGAAAAATTGGATATCGTTGCAACACTATCTGTCTGACTGCAGTCATTTCCGTACTGCAAACATTCGTTGAATTTTGTGTCTACCTCGAGAAGTCACCGACTGCCACACCAATCTCAAAGTGAAACGGAATTATACTACGAAAAGTACAATGAAATTATAATTTCAAGATAAAAAACTTCACGTTTGAATATACAACACGTGTCTTTATTCTTGATACCTACTCGCGAACGTGCGACATGCGTTACTGCAAATGCACACGCGACTTCATTCGATTCACCTTGGAAGCTTCGGAAGAAAGGCGCTGATATATAGCGCATAATAATCTGATAAGAAGATAGTGTCTGGTCGTATAATACCAGTAGGGAATAATCACGGATTATTATTGTTAATACAAGAGAATTATCAAACAAGTGGTCAACAAAGACCGAAATCAGGAAAGAAGAATGATTGTTATTAACAATGAGACTGAGATACATGACACAAGAGATTCGTGAGAAATCTTTAGAAACGGAAAAGAAAAACTGAATATTTTTCGTTTTTTATAGTTACAGCTTGCAACGATAACTTTGTCATCTAACACACTAACACGTTCCAAAACAAAATACAATTTTCTGATATATTACTCGCGAGACAAAATACAACATCTTCTAGAATTAAATATTAGATTAATTAGAATTAGATTTAATCTAAAACTAAATTTCATGATTTTCTATTTTCGAGATGTATCTTTCCTGACATATATTGAAAAAAAGAGATGAACATACGTACACACATTCATATTTATGTACACATTTATACGAAGAGAATCGTTTGAAAAGTTATATAGGAATATAAATCTATAAAAATCATATATTCTACAAATTAACAAACCAAGATTCATGATTTTTTAACAGACTCTTTTTGAGAATAGAACAGAGGCCCATATACATGCATACACACATACGTGAATCCATACATGCACGATGTTGTCAAAAATGAGTAGCATCAATCCCACAAGTATAGAAATCGTCGTAAATATAACAGCATTAGATAAATCATTACTGAGATATAAAGCAAAACAGAGGCTTGTGCCAACGTATACATAAATCTGTATTCACAGAATATTTTCAAAAATTTGATGCCATCAATGCCTCATACGTATCACTATAACAAACTTCTTGATTTTCTAAGTAAACATTTCTGAGGTGAAACTTAAAATAAATGCCCATATACTACACACATCCAGGGGTACAGAATTATGAAACCGATTTTTTCAGTTTTTCGAATCAGTCACTTCGAAATGCCCAGAAGTGGAAAGAATCGAGAGCAGTCCATGTAATTTTACATCACTACTTTCCCTCTATTATATCCACTATCAGCCAGGAAAGTGAAAACGAAAGGAACATATTGCATCGGTTAGAAGGCTTCGAACTGCCACCTTTCCTAGGAGAGAGTGAAAATCGTCGTTACAGATTAGCTAACCAAAGCTTCCCAGATCGTTCAACCGTGCACTAACCAACGAAGGTCACAGTACAACTATACACGACACGATTAGATCGTTGTAGCTAAGCCTGTGGCTGATGTTAACATTTTACCTGCAGGTCTATTTGGTTACGAACGCGTAACAACAACCAGGAACCTATCGCGTATAATATTGTATTAAGTTGAGCGGGAAAGTTCGTGCTCTTTTTAATCTAAACAAATTCCATTGTATTAGAGTTGAATTGAATTCCAGATGGGAATTTTTCGAACCACTTTTAATAGGTACGAAACTTCATAATATCTTCTCCGTACACTTCGGAAATACTTTGTACTGTTTTATGACTGTAGTGACCCTTTAAAACTCGTAAAGCAGTACACGAGTATCTTATCAGTAAACAGTGAGTTCTGTACATTTATGATACAAGAAACAATGACAACATGATCAAAGAATATATGCACTCGTGTGAAACGAAATAGTATTATTATATAATTAATAGAATATATTCAACATACATCGTGTTTGTGTATAATTTTTATATTAGCATACGTCATAAATGCATAAAATCTAGTAACTTGTTATATATTTTTAAGAATGAAAAAAAAAATAATTGAACACTTCGAATAAACGTGTACTATATTAATTAACAGAATATATTCAACATGCATCACGTTTAGTTCCAGTATATTTTCCATATCTGTGTACGCCATAAATGCATAAAATCCATAAAATCCCTAGTCTACTTATAAATAGTCATTTTTATATATTTTTAACAATGAAAAGCAATAATGAACATCATTCGTGGCTGGGAGAAATTGTTCTTTCTTAGCCGGCAACAGTCGTTGATTTGGAGCTAAAAGCGAAACGAGTAGAATCCAAATAGAACAAAAATCAGGTCGAAAGGATTAAAATACGTGTATTTAGGAAGACGACTAGTTTCTGTTGCGAGAACAAAAGAATAACTACACATAAATTGTACAGCAAAACCGCACGAACTTTCCATTTAACCCAATATATAAACCTGTCTAACATTTTAATAAAATTTGAAAGGTGAACCTTTTGTGTATATTAACCTGGCCTGTCATTAACTTCGCACATGGTGGGCACTCGCCAATTTCCTCAACAGAGTCTCACAAGTCGACAACTAGAAATACGTTTACCAGACTCCCATTAGATAGACGCTGAAGCTAGAAAGCCCACGATTAGGGTTTTTCTAGATGAAATGTCAATGAAAAAAGTAGGGAGGTACCTTAGATACTGAACCAAGTAATCCAGAGCCACACACTTCGACGACGCGCGTTAATTCGACGCAGAGATCGGAGCACCCTAGAGAATCGGAGCACATTTTCATCGACACATGTCTTCCATGGATAATTATCACTGACGTCGCCAATTCTATACGAAATCACTATTTTCACACGTCTACGAACGGAGAAATTCCTAGAAACAGCGTTCTCCAGACGCAGACACAAATCGCTCGCGAGTGAACAAGACGAAGGCGTTTCATCCCAGTTGCTTCCGGTTGCTCTCGGCTCGGAAACCATCCGTGACACTGTTCGCACGTTGCAACCACACAATTTCCATAAAAATGACCAATCACCAAGGATTCAAAGATTCTTAAGAATCGAAACGTTTGAAACAAACGATCGTGTACGAGACTGGCAAGTTTTGGTCTTCGGTTATCACAGGTGCCGGCGGCTTACCGAGAAGCGCGTACATCCACGTCGTCGTCGACGACGAGGAAGCGGCGGCATCCTCGAGGAGCGCAGAAGGCCTCTCGCCTTCCCTCCTCTCAGCCGATGCCCTCGTGCTTCGAGGGTGCCTCTTCGACGAGGTCGTGCCGCTCGCGGATGACCGTCGCCGAGTGTCGCGAGTTCGTCGAGTCGGCCACGTGCTACCGAAAGAAGAGGCGGCCACTTCGTGGAGCGAACGATGCACGAGGAGGACCACGGCATCGGCAACCTTCGCGAGCGTTTACCGTGCCGCTACTGTTCGTAAGAGTGTTGGTGGTGGTGGTTGTAGTGGTGGTAGCGAGCCACTTTGCCAACTCACGCGCACTCTTCGCCCGAGCGGCCAACGAACACTGAGCGCGGGTGGTGGTAGTGGTGGTGGTGGCGGCGGATCGGCCCGGAGGTGGAAGTGGAGGAACACCGATGGAGGATCCTGCGACGGTGCGGATTACCACGGACGCAACCACGTGCTCCTGGACCACCGGCGCAGGTGGGAGTGACTAACTCGTCGTCTCGCGTATGCTACTTCCTTGACGCTTTCAACATTCGCGCAATCTTTAGATTGTGATTCAGGAAGAAGCGGTTTCTAGGGGAGATTGCGATTTTCGCGGCTTCGCGATTTGAACGATATTATTTAACCCTTTGAAATCGGATATCTCTTCTGCGAGGACATCGTAAGTCCAGGCAAACTTTATTAGTGATTACTAGACTGCGGTAAAACTTTATGGTATCATATAACACACATTTCTAGTAAAACACAGTAATCGAATAGTTTAATAATTAGTAACAGTTATATTCATCAAAGTAGAATACCAGATAAATGAAATTCATGAAAATGAATCGTAATATGACTGTTTCAATTATCGTGATTGCGAACTGCAAAATAGACTTCTTATATAGTATTATTTTATGACATTATGCTATTACATAGTATATAGTATTATGAATGATTGATACATTCCTGGAATCTTACCACTATACCTAAGTTTACTTTGATTACTTATAAATAGACTGCGGATCTTTATGCAAAATAAAATGTTCGCAAACGTGACTACAAAAATTGAACCTAAATAGGAATTTATTTTATTCTGCAAATGTTATAACATGAACTTTACTTTCAATCTCTTTTATATTCTTGCATATTGTTTGCATTTTGTAGGTTCTTGCGCATTCAAGTTTCCTATAAATGCATAAAGATCCGCAGTCTAGTAATCACTAGATCTGTGTAATCACACAGAATAAATTCATGGGAGCGAAAAATTTGTAAAATGTGGTACATGTATTAAGGTATAGATAGAGCGTTCGGTAACTGTTGGTACAAGCGAAAAGGAGGTGGTCTTACATGAAAAAATAAGTCGTAAAAATAGAATAAACATTTTTCATGCGAGGCTTCGTTTTCGAGAAAATCGACTTTGAATTTTCACCGAGTACGGGTGCACTCGATCGTGTCCCGTTATAACGGATTTCGCTGTAGATCATTGTCTCGATGGAAGCTATATTGATAAACACTTCAAATGCCACGGAAATGTTTTCTTACTTATTATCTTACTATTGTTATCTAAAACAATCGAATACGTTAGAAAACGTTGATTGAAATTTAATTAGAAGAAGTATGTATTCGACAGAATGGGCAACATTTTCAGCAATTTCTGTAATAATAAACTTTATGATTACTTCAGCATTCTATTTCATTACGTGTTCTTAATTTTCCGTTACGATAAAAACAAACTGAAACAGAGCTAATAACCATCGAGACAGCTATAGACAGTGAGATTCGTTATAACGGGACACAATGGAGTGCACCCGTACCCGGCGAAAATTCAAAGTCGATTTTCTCGAAAACAAACCCTCGCATGAAAAATTTTTATTGTATATTTTGGACTTATTTTTTCATGTAGAATCGTCCCCTTTTCACGTGTACCACCAGTGACCGAACACGCTGTGTAACAAATATGAGCTTGTGATACATGGAAAAAGAATGTGTAAACATATTCCACGTTTTAATGGGGGAACATATTTTGTATAACATGGTGCAATTTGTGAAGATAAACAAGGAAGCCTAAGATAGCAATTTAAATTATTACGCATCAGAATAGTATAAAATTTTGATTTTTGACATAAATATATTCCTCAAAGTCTAAAGTTTGATATAAGCTCCAGTATCATTACAGTGAATTATATGCTTTATAAGTTACATTATGTAATACGACAGATGAATGGGAGAAGGTTGTATAAAGAGAAGGTGATTACGCTTCTTCATAATACTTAAAGGTATGTCTTACATATTAATTTGAACAATGTTGAACAGCACAACAACAAGTAACATGAACTTGTGGGATGACATAATACATTGAAAATGTTCTAGCCTATAAAGGTCACTGTCGCGATTCTACAGAACCGTTATTACGTCGGCTCTGAAACGATTTTTTAAAATTATATCGAATGCATAGAATTTTTTGATTGATTGGGTATCAATATTAAATCAGTAGTAAAAGTATTGAAAGAAAATGTCGAAACTTGAAACTTAAATCTTCAATTTCAATCTTCAATTTGTCCCTCCAGTGACCCAAAAAAATAGCGATTTTTGAAATGTCCTCGCGGAAGAGTATTTATATGAAATAGTAATATCTGTGATTTTCTTTAATGTTCTACTAATGTTTAAAGTCAAAGTAATTAAATATTTTGTAAAACTTCGAATGGTGCATACATTTTTAAACACTTCGCAACTTTTACGGTTATTCTTAAAGAAATTCCAGTTGACAAAACTCTTAAACTCTCCATTAATGTTTAAGGTCAAGTACCAATAGCAATTATTTCTTAACCAGTTTTCAACTTGGAAACCAGTTTATTATATCATTCCTAGGGAAACCCCCTCTCTACAGAAGTAATTATGTGGGACAATAACCTTGAATTTTCCAACAACGTTTAATGTCTATTCATCCTTCGAAATCTAAAAAAGCTGTCAAGAAATTTTGACACACAAGTGCTCATAATCAATAAGGACTATGACGATGAGTATCAATCTAATGAATTTAACCCTTTGCACTCGAGACGTGACTCTCGGTCACCATTAAGTTTGACGCAATAAATCGGCCAACAATAATGTTTGTTTAGGTTTAATTTCTTCGGAATTTGAAGTGTCGATAAAATGATTGTCGGCGAGGTAAAGGTAACCTGATCAAACTCAGCATTCGTGGCAATAGAATGCTAAGAAAGCATCTCGAGTTGCTGATAGATACCAGAAAAAAAGGCCTCGAGTGCAAAGGGTTAAAATTCTTTTGTTTGTTCCACGAAAAATCGTGCTTTGTTTGTGGTAAATTTTTAACGAACTAAACACGAGAGGAGAGACCACGCGGTTTCGTGTCACAAGCGTAAGTGGGAGTGACTAAAGCCGTCCTACACCTCTCCGCTTATGCGAAGTTGGCGGTACCGCGACCATCATACGCAGGTCTAACCCCTTGGGAAGCTTGAAGAGGAGACCAATGAGGTTCGCGCGTATCCTCCTCGTTGGAGCTACTCAAAATTGGCTTTAAACGCCTCCTGCGACTTCGATTGTTCGAGTTAGAATAGTCTACGAGGACGCTGCAACGATCGATTTAAGGGTGGAAGCTACGTTCGACGCGTGAAAATCACAGCTACTATGCAGAAAACTTCCCTATTTAAAGATCCACAATTAAGAAAAAAAAAAGCTTCGAATTATCTCCTTTTATTTCGGAGATATTTCCATAAATATATTTTGCACCCTTAACTTTGAGGGCTGTTATCGCTCCTTTAATGTGAACGATATGAAAAAGTCAGATATAAAAAAATACCTATCAAACATTTTCTTGAGAACTAACTTACCAGATAAGTTTCATTCAAATGAAAAAAGTTGGGAAACAAAGTACAGAGCTTTTCAATAGTGACGATATGTTTTTAACCCTTTCAAACCTGAGTTATTTTTTTTCTTGTATAAATGTAATTTTATTTTTAGGGTTAACTTGGATTAAAATTAATATGGAAAAATAAAAAGAAATCCTAACAGTGTAGTTTTCGAGGAAGACTGGTCTTACTTCATGTAAAGAAATAAGGACATTCGCCCTAAACGATAGTATAATTTTTAAATTTTGTGTCCCCAATTGTAGACACCAAGTCCGAAAGGGTTAAAATGTAATGGCAGCCCTGTTTAAGGTCATCTAAGTGTCACTAGCTGTCGTTTGTATTCAATACAGTCTGACAATTCATCATGGTAAGATACACGCTTCAAAAACTTTTGTTAAATTATAGCCAACCCTAATTTAATACAATTTATTTCTAAAAGAGGAACAAATAGAGTCCAAACAAGAAATAGTCGGATTGAAAAGGTTAATACGAATATGTAGAAGAATCTATGGACTGATTTATGCATTGTCATTTTGCAAAATTATATGCTTCCTTTTGATGAAGAAAAGATATCTACAGGGTGGTCATTTCAACGCGATAATGACCCTAAACATTCGTCCAAATTCGTTAAGACGTTTCTCACGTAACAAAATATTAATGTAATCGAGTGGTCTAATCAATTTCTGGCCTTGAACTGTCATACCGTTTCATCTCAAACGAAGCACTTACTTAATTTTTCTTAAAACTCGCTTGCAGCAAAGAATCAAGGAAAAATTATTTACAGAATGATTGGTGGTAAAAGCAGTACTATTAATTGAATCACGAGATTCATACTTATCTTTATAAATTAGTTTGAATAATAAATATAGTCGAAGGAAGAGGAAGGAAGGAATTTTGTTATATAAAAAAAGGGATGCTAACCATCATATAATATCAGTTGCTTAAATAATAGTACATCTATAATTCTGTCGCCTCGAATTCGAACGAAACTGTGGACGGGAACAATGAGGGCCTCACCCCCGCGAGTCCTTCCCCTTGAAGGTATAAGGGGTCATTGGAAAACTTCCAATAAGGTAACACGAGGGTTATTCCCTTTCGTATACGGTATTAGCAGAATATGTCAATCGATGACGTAGCGTTCTGTAACCGAGGATAAAAAGCATGTGAAAATTGATACTTAATTATTTCATTACAACATCAAAGTAATGATACATAATTATTTGAATACGACATAAAAATAATGCAGTTGATATTATTAAAATGACCCGCCAGTTTTCTTATAACAAGATATAGGAACAATGCAGTTAGTGTTATTGCAATGACTCGACGGTTTATTTATAGCAGATGTAATATAACTACCAGTGCAGAATACGATTTTATTTTTCTATTAAAAATAAGAGAATTAAATCAGAGAAGTAATACGGAAATTATTATTTTTAATTTTAGTCCTTTAGATTGTGATACTTTTGTATTTGGATTACGAATATTTTAATGAGTTAATGTAATAAATATCTGTTTATTAATTTGTAAATTTTTAAAGTGTTCTTAAACTTTCTTGGATTTAATTCTAACTATCTTTTGATTTAACATTTGTTTATGGACGAGGTATTTACACTAACAATTTATAGTTTTTTCATGTTTTTCCCTGTACACTACAACAGGAAGTTAGAAATAAAAAGAAGAAAGTATTGTCTATTAAATTCTCTTTCCTGGAAAATAAAATTTGTTAAAAAGTGAGAGAACATGAAAATTCTAATTACTTTTTCACGTTGTATTAATTATACAGACCAGAATTACATTATTCTCTACAATTCTAATAAGTTACAACGTTGGACCAATTATTGTATCATTACATCAGAACACACCATGACAACGAAAATTATTAAGTACCCCATTGAACAAGCTTTGACTTGGTTTATTAATTAATTCTTTCGTTAAACACATATTTCACTTTCGACACTGACGTTCGAAAATGCTTGAAATCATGCTTGTGCTGTACTTATCGCTACCTATAGACGGAGCTCCAGAGTTAGTATTATCACCTTTAAAGTGCCCATTTTAAGGAATTTCTTCGCGATATCTACCACAGGAAGCCAGCGAAATGCGAATTGTTCGAAACGTGCCAGGGGTTAATACGAGCTACCTATACGTCGTGTGTGTATAAGGTTCGATAAGGAAAAGAAGAAACGAATTCGTTATTCATCGACGTGTCAATCGAATGTATAAAATGCGTGCAAGTTTCTTTAAAAAGCAACGAGCTAGGGAAATGGATATTGACGTTAACGCGAAAGGTAAATGTCCCAATTATATATATATTTTATTTTGTTGTACATATATTAGGTGTAGAAATGAATTCTGTGCCTTTACATTCAATCGTTTATAACTATAGTTTGAATAAAAATATTTGTTCACATTCATCTCTCAGTCTAACAAGTAATTGTAATTTTTCATTTTTATGATTATATTATTCAAACTCGCAAAATGTACAATTATTCGGTATTACAAAAATTTACGTCCATTTTGTTTGTTCTCAACCTAATCTCCGTTACTATAAATCCATAAACATAACCCAAGCTTCAACCTGATAAAAATAATAGTTTATTTTGTATTTATTTAAATTGTTAAGGAATAAGTCATCAATGCCGGAATATTCAGTTGCAGATGTCTCAAATATTATTGTATACGTTTTTTCTTTTAATTTAGAAAATGTTTCTTTGAGATAAACGTGAACTCGAAGTACAATTTAATTATAATATTCTTCTGTTCCTTTTGCTATATATAATAAATAAATGAAAATTACTTACTCCCAATCAATGCAGTGCTTTATAAAAGAAGTAAAATTAAAATTGGATATTTTTAGTCTTCTGTTTGTATTATTAAAATAAATTAAAAGTACTACTTCTACTACATGTATTACTTCTTCGCGTAAATATTTTCCTTTTTTTATCTAATGTAAATGTGCATGTATAAAGAATTCACTGTAACATTTCCGATACAATGAAGAAGACACCGAATGACGTTTGCGAACATCTTGTTCAGACTTCGTGTAAACACAACGAGTTCGATGGAAAATATGTGAAGGGAGAGTAGATGTTTTATGAAAAAAGTTTCTTCTAGTATTTCACAAACGCTCTATTGTATACTTACGTATGCATATGTATATTGGGTGATGCGATGAATATTCGCGCAATTGGAAAGTTCATCTTTCTTGGAATCGTGGTGTTTTTATAAGCATCCATTAATCATGATTAGACAAGCATAGCAAGTGGAAATTAGGAAAACTTTACTTGTGTTATTCTACAATTTATATAATTATCAAGTACTTGTAATCTGTCGTTTTTTTTTTTAAAGATGGAGTTTTCATAAGTCTCTATCAATCATGATTAGACATTTACAGCAAGTGGAAATATGGGAGAACTTTACCTATGTTATTCTTTTACAATTATTATAATTATCAAGTATACTTGTAATCTGTTAGAAGAATAATAATAAACAATAATAAACAAATTCAGGTTATGCAATATAATAATATTACAATATAATAATACTATAGATATAGTTTCATTATTATAGAAATCAGATTGTATTTATTACAAATACTTCTACTCAAACTAGCGTTATAAATGATTGAATATAAAGGCACATAATTAATTTCTACACTTAATATATAAATTATACAATTAGGATAAATTCCATATCGTGTATTTTATTAAAAAAAAGAACTATCAAATCACCCTCTGAAAATCTATTAGAATGCTATCATACACCAAACATGTTTCCTCAAACAAAACAAGATCGCCTTACACCAAGTTCAATCTCGCGCATACGTACAACAACGCAGCCAAGATTTAACCGTGCGGCATCTATGAAATCTCTTGATCCTCGATTACCGCTGAGATTCCATGATAGTCGACTACACTGTATTAATTAGCACTAATTACGATCGATATTCCATACACGCCGATCTGTTTGTAACGCAACGATAATTGTTGTCATAAATGCCATCGTGCTCAAACCCCTCTGCCCCCTCCAATTTATGATCGCCATCGACGTTTGAAGTGACCACGGAGACCTTCCTCGGTCCCTTCTCTAAATCGTCCCTGGATACTCATTAGCGTGATTTTTCGGTAACCAGAGATCAGCCTTGCTGATTAATTTACAGTGATTTTGCACTTTGCCTCTGTGCGCTTATCCAATTATTCGCCGTGAAACGGTGTGCTTCAAACAACAATCCTCAACCTTTGTTAGCGTTCCCATCAGCCAGCGGGCGGGCGTTAAAGTATCGAAATGAAACGTTTCGCCCGTTGCTATAATCCTCAAATGTGACAAACGCGGATCGTTGGCGCTCACGTATAAAGAATTGCATCGCTAATCGGTGCAGTTTCCTGTTGGTGAATTTACTGTGCCTTGGTTTTTATCAATCCCGTTCAGTAGAACGGGATCCTACTGGATGGTCGATTAGAAATGGAGCAGTGAGCGTTTCGAATCAGGGTGAAATAAGTCAAAGATTGTTTGTTAAACCTGGACAGTACAGCTTCTTATTGAATCAATTTGTGTTTATTAGCCTTAATCAGCTGACGATGAATGTTTACGAACTTTAAGGGGAATCCACGTTGAGAGACCAAATATTAACCGCTTTTCAGGATTTGTTTTTACAGATATGTAATAATTCAATTTTTGTTTAACTTTGAGAATATTTTAGGTATGTCTTAAAGAGCATTAAGTGATTTTTTTTCAGTTCATCGTTCGATTCATTTTCAAGATTATTTTCGGTATATTTGCACTTCGCTCTTTCAACTGGATGCTTTTCGACATTGAATATCAACATGCTTCAATTACTACCGAGGTATCAAGGTGTAAATTATTTTCTCAGATTCTTGAGTGACCAGAGTTTCCGGAATTCTGTTCCACGCGTTGATTGGTAAGATAACACTGGTCAACCTCTTGTAATACAATCCCCGCCCGGAAAAAGCTGTTGCCCCTGGAAGTATATTCTTTTGTCCCTCAATTATGCTTCTATAACGAGTAAACGTTAAATTAAGTAAACGTGTCTATTCATCTTTAACCGCAGTCAAACATTGTGCATCTTACAATCTTTAAATTTAATCACTAACCTAAATCATATTAGTAGTTTTATTTTTAATAAATCCAATTGAATAAATGTGATTCATATAATGAATGTATGAATTGTTTTTACTGCCACAAGAAACTGCTAAATCGATTATCTGGAATATAGAGTACACAAATACTGTGAATTTCGTTATCTTTAAATTAAATCATTAACCTAAATAAAATCAGTAGATTGTTTAATAAATTCAATTGAATAAATAAGATTCATGTAATGCATATATAAATTATTCTTACTACCTCAAAAAACTGCTAATTCGAGTAACAATTACCTGAAATATCGAGCATATACATTAAATTCATAAATCTTATAATTTAATTACTTTACTTATGCACTTTATATTTTTAGGTAATCGTGTATGAAACGCCACCTTAACATAAGTAAACAAAAAATTATATTTATTTATTGCACAATTTTGATAACGTAGAATATTAAGGTAGAATATCCTGGTTTTAATTACATTACCTTCGGTATAAACCTGCTGAAAGAAATATCACGAAGGTAAAATTATAAATTATATTTCATTATAGACATGCACTTGTAAAATTGTGCTAAATTCTTGTAGGTTGCTATTACACAATAAATTCTTTAGCGAACAAAGGGGCCGTAATATTATACAGTTTATTTACACTGGTAACAATAATTATTATAAAATTAAGTAGCGCGTGAGACAGAATTAAATGTTGATATACGAATATCTTCTAATAGCACTATAAAATAGTGAAAGGATTGTTTTCTTTTATTTTGCTTTAATACAAGTAGCTCTTATTAGAAAGAGTACGCAATAAGCTTTCTCCCATTTACTACACCAGTAAACTAATGGGATATCAAATTGGTACAAAAATTATAAAAAGAAATAATCGTACCCTGAAATCTTCTCCGAGTCCTTCGCCCTGTCCCCTCATCTGGCAGCATGACCCAATTATCTGCAAGCAAAATTTACAATTAGACCATATCTTCGAAGAAGAACCATATATGATGTGGGATTTTCATCAATTTCCAAAAATAATTTGATAATTTGGTTCAAAACACTTGTACAAAAACTCTGATTGTAATTAATATTAGTTGATGCTTCTGTTGAAAAAAATTCAATGATTCGATGTTGTTTTGCTTATTTAAAAATTTATTTTTTATTTATGTTTAAGAAACGCCAGTCAAACCTATATCTGTTCTTCCGAATATGTACTATATATATGTATGTATTTAGTATTTTATAGTTTCTTTCTGTTTTATACAAACAATATAATATTAATGACAATTATTGTGTAAAATAGTATAGCTTTCAGTATCGTATAAATATTGTTTAGAGGTTATTTCACAGAATGTTGTCGACCACGCAAAAATTGAAGCCCGATATTATGTTCGGTTTAAATGGCGCGACGTTGAAATATGAAATACGTATTAGCCAGCGGTTTTTGCAAGGAAAGATATATTGTTGCATGAGAATGTATCGACTTACGTATGTTCTTCATTTTATAAATAAATCCGATTAAATAAATACAACAGAATTAACAATACAACTACAACCTGCAATAGAATTAAAATCTATCCACAAAATGATATAAATAGGACATGCAATAATAGTCCGACTATACGTGTTTCTTCCTCATGTTTGAAAATTATTTTGCGTGACACTAAAAGACATTGCGTAAAAGAAACAAGGTGTTTACGAAGCTTCGGTGTTCGCATCGTTCATCGAGTGATCGTGAAGCAAATTGGCGAATATCCTTCCTTCGGGCCATTGTACATTTTTATAATTGGCCCGATAACTTGTTAATTAAGCGCCGAATTGTTCGCTCAGACGTAAAAGAAATACGGCGAGTGCTTCTCGCGTTCAGATGCGCGAGACATTAAATTAAGAAGTACGCGCAAGGTGATAAATCAACAGGGAAGTAAATTGTACAAGGTATAAACGATCTTGTCTCCGTTTCTGACTTTTATATAGGCTGGGGAAACGTAATGCTAAATTTGACAATGGTAAATTTCACGTAACATACTATCTAGCGTATCTGTTCACAGTCCTTCGTAATTATAAATTTTTAAAGTACATTGCACAAGGTATTACATTTAACATCAAGATTGAATACTTAATACTTAAGCCGTTTTTTAAAAAAGTGCTTTGGTGTTTCGTTTTTTAATCAAACACAAGTAGTGTGGAATACACCTTATTTTGTTATTTAGAATGAGTGTACATATTTTCAATTAAACGTGAAGGATGATGTATGGGACGAGAAGAATCTATTAACAATTTTTTAAATATCGTGATTTTCATTCATCGTTGCATCAAAAAATTCAATGTAATTGTAAATCGATATTAACAAAGACTACACACTACATCGGTTCATTTATTTTGCAGAAGATCGTAGAAAAAAAAGAGATTTCGATATAAAAATATTTTGTTGAAAAGAAAAGAAAGTTTATGCCGAAGACAAAACTATAGACCAAGTTATAAAATTGTACAAACGGAGAATCTAAAATTAAAATTTTAATTCTAAATCTAAACAGTAATCCAGGTATTTAAGGGTTAAGACTTATTTATAATTTTTTCAAACACTGTAACATAAGAATTTATGTAAGAATGGTTTGAAGCAATCATTCATAAGTCTAAATTTTTTTTACATTGTTTTTAAACTATTTTTGTTTGATATTCAAAGATGGTAAAAACTAAATGAACAATTCATATTTCTTCATATTCTTTGTGGTGCGATTCACAATCAGTAGAAGCTCATTAAAATATTCAAAAGTGTTAAAGATAAACTATCTAATATTCCACACAATCTTAACGATATAATAATTTGAAACCTAGAGGAGAGGATAAACAAGTGTCTGAAGGGAAGCCGGTAGTAGAATCGTGCGCATACATAGCCGATTTTGAGAAAATAGTAAGAAAGAAGAAAGAGAAAGGCAATGAGATTGAAACAGATGGAATAGTAGAGGTCGAGGAGATAGACTAACCGTAACCTAAAATAACCTAAGATTCTTAAGAAAGAACAGAAATATTTTGAAGGATGTTAAGACAGTTGTATGACAATTCTGTAATCATACAAATAAAATATTTAAAAACTAATGAAATATTAAAACAACTAAACCAATGATTCTAGATTATAAGAATACAAGATAAGGAAAAGGGGATATAATGTAAGGAAAGGGAACAAATGTAAAAACCCATAAAAGTTACTCATGGCAATAAAATAAAAAACTAAAACAAACTAATTTGAAACAAGTAATTACAGTTTATATGGACTCAAAAATATAGTGTTAAATCTTACACCAAAAAAGTATACATTAAGTATTACCTAACGTAATTGTTTACAGTTTTTCATAATTCTAATCTATCATCAAGATTACATAATACAATTGTAAACAAATAATGACAATTATTCTACAATTGTTTGGTAGATGTGTCTAAAGCTACAGGTTCAAGATAAAAATTAAATAAATTTCAACCTTTGTTTAGAGTACGTTTACTCGCAATTATTTGCCTAGAACGTTTTATTTGAAACCATTTTAAACATTCAAAACAAGTAGGAGCATACGAGCAACGAAACGATACCGCATGGTTAAACCACGCATTTTCATGCCTCTCTCGAGAATGCTGGTGAATTCTACTTACGTAATAAGCGTACTGACAACAGTACAACAATTTAACCACGTGATTATATAAACGTCATCAAGCCTGCGTCTGACAGATTATGTCTTGTGGACGACATCCCCTATCGTCGCATCGGCGGATCATAAATACTTCCCTATAGTTCGCTCAACAATAGAGACACAGAATATCGATGCTGGAAAGGAGCACAGATAGGCAAAACTTGCATTGGCGGAAATATTTATACACGTGATTTTATGACTTAAAAAAAAAAAACAGTATACAATTTTCAGTATATTTCAATTCACTATATGTTCGAAGACATCACCAAGAAAGGAACAGCTACTTTCACTTTTATTAATATATCAAACATAAAACGATCACAACTTTGAATAAACTTTAATTTCTAATCAATTCTATGAATTCTAATTTAGTTAAAATTTCACATTTATTTCGAATAGAAATTTCTATGTTATGCATATCAAAACTTAAAGTGAAAAATGTTATGAAATAAAAATCCTTCTCAAGTATTTTTTTTACAATTCATTATGTTCAAAGACATCAACAAAAAAGGAGCAGCTACATTTACTACTAATAAAAATATATTCTACATTTTTTTTTTATATTACTATAAACATCACTTGTAATCAATTTTGTATTAAATCTGTTGCAATACGTTTAATAACATCCTAGAACCTGAACTTTTTTTTTACCACAGAGAATATTTTTTACCTGCTTCAAGCAATTTGGAGTTCGTTGAATATAATTGAACTTACTGATTATAGTTAGTAGTATTTCATTATTATTATTTTATTGACAACTTTATCAAAATGTAAATCAATTAATACTTCTATATTACATTAATGCAAGACTATTTGCAATATTATTTAACATATTTCTGTAACAGCAAGTGTTACAAGAAATGCTTAAACAGAGATCAATTGTTTGTGTGACATTTGTTATTTTCAGAAATTGTTACGAGCCGGAGGAGGCGGCTGCGTAGCCGAGGTTTTATATTGGAATAAGGAAATAAGGAAATTTCAGAAACGGCAACGTAACACTCAATTAATTTGTATTAATAAAAGCGACCCTAAAGTCTTCGTAGTATGTATAGCAAGCTTGAAAAGATTCATTCAAACTCGATGACAATAAGTAATTAATAATAAAACGTCTGTTCAAACTCTCATCAAGGGCAGTTAAACTGTACTATAAATAAATATGATTACATATTTAGGCTGTAGCAACAATAAATCGAACAATGCATTGTCATGGCATCATAATTGTACCGAATTGTATGGGCTTGCGAATAATCAATTTATCCTATTTACAACAGGAGTATACTTGTGCAAGCACACAAGAGTGTCAGGTGGCAACGAAGGATCCTTAGAATCTTTTCATTTAATACGCCACCTCGTCCGCTATGAACATCTGTATCCTCGAGTTTCCAAACCTATTATGGTATTCAAAAGCCACTGAGTACTGTGTGAGAAGCTTTACATTGTTAACGAACCGTTGGAGAGATATTAGACATTACTGATACATTCGTTCTTGGCAAGTCGAAGACAATGTAAAAATATGCAATGTGCAAGGTGCATCTATGTGATCAGAGAGCTTAGTGCGAAGTGCAATAGTTGAAGTAACAACTGAGTCTCCAATAAATAAAGCTGAACGTGTCTATGCAATTTATTAAAGGGGAAACGAATATCCCAGTTATTAGTTAATAAAGGAATTTCTGTTTTGTAATCAAATTAGGAACTAGTTAGGTATTGTAGTACTACATTCTTAATATTTTTTACCTGCTTCAAGCAATTTAGAGTTCGATGAATATAATCGAACTTACTGATTATAGTTGGTAGTATTTCATTATTATTATTTTATTAACAATTTTATCAAAATGTGAATCAATTAACTATATACATCAGTACACACGAACGTATGCATTGACTTTATTTATGGTTATATTTACACTAGATATGAATATATGCATTTCATTTATTACTAAATTTAGATGTTAATATATGCATGTATTTCGTTCATTTATTACTTCTATTTAAATGATTATATCTATTCCATTCATTATTACATATAAATATAAAAACATACATTTCATTTGTTCCTACAACTAGATATGATAATACATGCTTCATTTATTTCTACATTTGCAGATTCGCTATTAGATTAATAACAATAGTAATTGTCACTTCATAAAAAAAAGCCAGCAACTTTGCTCCAAAAATCAAACGAAACAAAACGAACATCCTTGTTCATAATGAAACCAAGTAGAAAGGAATAATTTCAGTGGAACTACCATTTGATTTTCGAAGGTGACCCACTTTTTGAAACGATAAATAGGAGATTCCCTTAAAATAGTCCCGTGCAAATGTAAAGTTTGCAACGACGATCTCAAAGATTGCCCATTTTTTAAGACGATAAATTGAGAATTCCCTTAAAATCATCTAGTGGAAAAAAAGTTTTCGTTGATTTTCGGAGTCCGAATATCGAAAACGAAAACCATTGGCAATTGAAGCTCGCCGAAGTTTAACAGGAGAACTTATTACGCAAAGCCGTTGCAGCGATCATGTATAGAAGTTACGATGATTTTATAGTAGTCGAATAACGCTTTGCGACTAGACGCATTACAGCACAGAATTATGTATGTGTTACTTGCCCCCGTAACGATTTCATCGGTTCTGTTGATTACGTTACATTATATTATCTGTCTGCGCTAGATATTATTATGTTTTTTCGTAGTATTACGTGAAGGAATTTATTCTTTCACTGAGAATTTCGAAACATTCTACGCAGAAACATGTCGCGCGGTTAAAATCAAACCAACTTCCTGCAATGCACACCTGTATTTAAAAGTATGATTAAATCGATCGCATTCCAAGGTTAGAATAATATGTTTTTCTCTTGGTGTTTTAATTGTAGTAATAAGATTCAGTTTAAAAGTAGATTGACGACTATTTGTAACAATTCTTTCTTTGTTTCTCTTACGAAATATACTGAAAAACACATACCATAATATTAAGGATCTCGGCTTTTAACATCACTAATGATTTGTTTTATAAAGGGTTTTCCAAAAAGTGCTTCACGATTTACTATTTGATAAAAATACAGGTGGTATGGAATATATAAAATTTTACTTGAGTGTCGGATGTAACATGATTTTAATTGAACGTAAAAAATGATGTCGTTTAATGTATCCACTATGGCTGTGGTGATAGACGTATTTTGACATTCAAAACAAGATCTCAAAGCCTTGTTTGAAAGATCCTTTATATATTTATTTAAAAAGATGATCTACATTTAATATAATGATTTATTTGTGATCTTTATACGACTTAACGATTATTGTATACATAGTAATTCCTTATTGAGTTGTTTGTCTTTTGTTTGTTACTCAAAATATTTTATCTCGATGAAAATTTTACTCGTTTCTGGAGTATATAGAGTAACAAAAACAAAGAATGGAAATCTATAGCCTCTCCACGCCTGCTATCAATTATAAATGAGTATTATAAAAGGAATTTCTTTACATAATCTCTCAAAATGGATATAATTTAGAATTTGAAATTGAAAATCGATCATAGGAGATTTTTCTACTCGAACCTATTGAATAAAAACGACGTTTCGATATGTCAAACACATAACGCTATACTTCTAGGTACTGTGAACCACTTTGTACTCCACTACAAAAAATTTTCTACTTATAAATTGTAATATTAATAATTAACACTAATTTCACATGTATAATTTAGAACGTTTCAAAGTATAGTAACCTTTAAAATAGTTTTAATTAATTAACCGTTTCTAAAAACTGTAACGCGTAACCAATACCTTCTATTTGCGGGGAAAAAGGAGAATTTCCGCGCAAATCATGTTAGGTCAAACTTTGTGATCAGCCTTCGTAAGAAATTAATCAACACTGTCCATATTCTGCTTACTTGTAATACCACATTCCCC